CCGAGTTAATTGATTTTTAATTCTAGCTCTTTCGGAACTATTTTCCGGAGCGGCTCTAAACTCTTTTTTTAAATTTTACCCGCTAGTTTCCCTTACTATATCAACGACTTAAAAAAATATAATGCAGAAGATAGTCAAAATGATGATTTATTCAAGATAGACCAAATTGCTAAAAAGTGAACGGATTACCAACCACTAGCAGGATGAAAAAAAAAAGATATCATTACTTTTCTAAATAAAATAGTGAAAATGGTGCCACGGCCGGAAATGTTGAAATTTCTCGACCAACTAAAAAAGGTTAGTTTTGACTATGTCACCTCCTCTGGAATTAGCATTCCACCTTTTGAATTAGAAGGAATTCTCTCTAACAAAAAAGAAATTCTAATTGAGGCTGACCAAAAGGAAAACAAAATTACCGAACACTTTTCCCAAGGTTTTTATAGTGAAGAAGAAAGAAAACAGAAAAAAATTGCGGTCTGAGAAGAATGTAAAGAAAAATTGAAAGAGCAATTAATCACTAAATTAACTAAAAAAGACAATACTTCCTTTTATAATATCTGAGATTCTGGAGCTCGAGCTAGCGATGAAAGTTTGACCCAAATCTTCGGGATGCGTGGTAATACAACCAACTATTTAGGAGAAGTGATTGAAACTCCCATTACTTCTTCCTTATGAGAAGGATTAACACCTTTCGAATTCTTTATCTCAGTTTATGGAGCTGTGAAAGGAATGATTGATATTGCCTTGAAAACTGCCGAAGCTGGTTATCTAACTCGGCGTTTAGTGGAATCTACCCAAAACCTGGCGATAATTTCCCCCGATTGCGAAATAAATACTGGCACGCTTTTTGTGGAAAGTGGTCTGCCACTCAGCAAAAGAGTTTACGGTCGTTATTTAGCCCAAGATATATCCGACAAGGAAGAAAAAACTATTTTAACTCGCAATACCCTCCTACTAGAAAAAGAAATAAAAATTATTCAAGAAAAAGGAATCACGGAGGTTTGAGCTTTTTCTCCATTAAATTGCCAATTAGTTGAGGGTATTTGTCAGAAATGCTATGGCTTAGATTTAAGTAAACCGGGAGAAGCAATTGCCTTGGGAACCGCCGTGGGAGTAATTGCGGCTCAATCCTTAGGAGAACCAGGAACTCAGTTGACTATGCGAACTTTCCACAGTGGAGGAATTGCCGGCGATGAAGACATTACCCAAGGTCTACCAAAAGTCAAGCAAATTTTTGATAACATTAAGCCCGACAAGGAAGAAAAAACTATTTTGGCTAAGACCAATGGAAAGATAATTAGTATTGAAGAAAAAATAATTAAGCAAAAAAGCGAGGAGGGGAAAGAAATTATTTATCCGCTCGGTAAGAAAAAGAAGGTGCGAGTCAGTCAAGGAGACCTAGTAAAAAAGGGTGAAAGACTTACGGGTGGAAAAGTAGATTTGGAAGAATTCCTTGAAATTGTGGGACGAAATAATTGTCAGGAATATATTAAAGAGGAAGTAAGGAAAGTATATGAAAACCAGGGAATAGAGGTTAATGAGAAACACATTGAAATCTTTGCTCGACAAATGCTCTCCAAGGTAGAAATAACCAATAGTGGAGATAGCAACTATTTAGTGGGCGATTTAGTAAATTATCACGAACTAGAAAAAAATAATCAAAAGTTATTGGTCAACAAAAAACAACCAGCTTCTTTCAAAAATATCATTTCTAGCCTAAAAGATTTAGCATCTCATCCAGATTCTTTCTTAGCCGGAATTTCTTTCCAAAACACCTTAAAGAGTTTAGTTAATTATTCTTTATATCAACCAGTTGATTACTTACGAGGATGCAAAGAGAACTTAATTGCTGGTCAATTAATACCAGTTGGAACTGGTTTTAAGGAACGAGAAAAATTTCGACGAAAAAGCACTCGGGAAACATAAAAACTTTTATCCCTAAGTAGAATAATACATTTTTTTCAAGTTAAATTTAACTAGGATTTATGCTTCGGAAACTAGTTCATTTTTTTCTTTTTTGGTCTTTTTTACTCCTACCTTATACATTCTAAGCGGATGGGAATTAACACCTTTGCGGAACAAACTTTATAAAATTAATATAGGGGGTAGAAAGTGAGTGATAGTGAGTAGTAGTTGAAAGAGATATAAATTGCTCTCTCTCTCTCTCTCTCTCTCTCTCTCTCTCTCTCTCTCTGCTAATAAAAAATATAAGAAACTAAAATAAATTATTTAATAATAAAATATGAACAGAAACAATAATTTTAAAACCCTAGACGAAAAGAAAAGAAAATTAGCGAATTTGAAAGTTGAATGAGAAGCAATGAAAAAGGAGGAGGAAAATTTAAAAAAAGAGTTTAGAGCCGCTCCGGAAAATAGTTCCGAAAGAGCTAGAATTAAAAATCAATTAACTCGG